ATTATTGTCTACACAATTATCTTGTATTTAATAATACTTGAATAACTTAAATTCAAGTATTATTGAGTCTGGTAAAAGTAGTTCTCTCACTTTATCCCATCATATTTGAACGAATATTACTCACTCCCTTCCGAACTATATTTACATGTTGGATTTTTATTAGTAGTTTGCATGACTTTTACAGAAATGATTTAATTAATCAGCTTTTCTTGTCTATGGGTCTCGGTGTGACTTCGATAGTCGAAAATGTAGAGACAACCATTGGCATTCTCTATTTTGACCAAACTCTATAAAACAAGTTATAAACAAGGATTATGACAGATAAATACGGCTTAAATAGGCAAATGACCAAAAAAAAAAAAGGCACAAAATGGGGTAATTCTTTTAAAATCTTTAGAAACTTATCTGATATTTTTTTTTTCAAAAAATGATCATAATGCTCCTAAAAGTAAATGGCAAGTTGAGGGTATCACATGACTACTTTTATCAAGTGAGTAACTAAAATTTATAAAAGTGATATTTTTATTTAAATTAAATGACAATTTAAACTTTAAATTATAAATTCATAGATAATTTAAATTTTAAACTCGTATTTGATATATTTTAAATTTTAAAATATCAAACCCATGGCAATATTCAAATAAAAATATATTGATTGTGAACCATTTATTTTCTCTCTCTCTCCCCTTCTATTCTCTCCTCTCTTGCATCCACCATGGCTGGCAAGTCTGGTTTTAGTGCTTATCATTTGTTGAACATCTGGATTCTAGATGGTCTAGATTTTATAGAATTTATTTTTTATTTTATTATAAAAAAGTGTAACATTTTAATAAATTTATTTTATCATTAATCTGAACAATACATATTTAATCTAAATCTAATTTAATATTATTTTTAATTTTTATAAATTAACTATCTAGATGTACTTTGGGCAGACTAGATCCAAAGTACATTTGGATAGTCAATTTATAAAAAAATTAATATTAAATTAGATTATTCAGATTAAATTTATATTATCCAGATTGATAATAAAATAAATTTATTAAAATTTTATATTTTAATTAATATATAATAAAATGGATAAATCTGGACCCTAATTATTGGTAGTAGATAGCAAATTTAGCTTGATGTGCCCAATGATACTATACTTAAGACCTATTCCAGCACACTGGTATGCTCACACCAACAGCCATTCAGGATTGAACAGGCTTGTGTTGCAAAACAAGCAGGGGCAACAGGACTACAGAGTCTAATGAGAACTAACTTAGGCAACACAGTACATGAGGAGGAAGAAAGAATCGGTTGGAAAACTCAAGAGCCACGCAAAGTGGTTCCGTCCTCATGCAAGCTTGTATATAGGCTGAGATCTTGGACATGTCTGTTATGACTTTAAACACTGGATTAATCTACCATAAAGCATCGATTACAAGTGAATAAACTCTCATCAAGCACTTTGTTTGGAGTCATTGGAAGACATTGACAAAATTCATTTAATAAAATCAGTTTAAGCAATACATTTACTCAAAAAATGGTTAAAGTTGAGATTCAAAATTCAAACAGCCAAAATATAATGTCTTTGGGTAAGCAAATTTAAATAAATAATTATTTATTTTTTAAAAAATAATCCAATAAAAGAACCCAGTGCCTTTTTGACTCGCATGCAAGAGGCAAATTAATTGTTTTCAACTACGATTGTCCTAAGTTAGTTTGTCTCGTGTGTGTGAGCTCTCTTCTCTTTCAAGGCCATTTTATTCCTTAATATATATACACTAGGAGATCTTCTTATTTGAGCAATATGGGATTTGTCATTTTGACACACCACTTTAAATATCACAACACAGATTGCTCATCAGGTGATGAGCACCATGTCACCTGATAAGCACAATGGTGCTTATCACCTGATGAGTATCAAAATTGAACTCTATAGCTAGCCCTTTCCTATTATTCTGTGGCATTTTCTCTTGCCTTCTTTTCAAGCACGTCACCCTTAATTCCTCCTAGTGAAGCTCCCATGAGGATCTCTTCCTCTAACGCCAGCACGCCTCCCCTACCAAGTATGTCGTCTTCCCCCCATCAAATATCATCTTGGCCTATTTTCCTAACTTTCAAGCATGTGTGCAAAGGATACAACAGGTGCACCCATAGACATGGGCAAGGGTACTTAGCCATCAAGCAAGTATAGTGATTCAACAAAGACCCCATGACTATGGAAGTGAATTATAGGGGAGCCCACACCTATGAGCTCGCCTCCATTGCCTTTCTTTTGTCTCAAGAACAACTCATGAACTTGTGTGGCCTAAAGGTGCTAACTAAGAATTTGAATGCCTTTGACCAAACTTATTTTGCTTCGTTCCTATTGCCTTCAACCTCTAACATGAAACCTCGCAACCTTAAGTCCATGCAATGTGCCGCGATAAAAAACTTGAAACCTTCAATTCCCTCCCTACATGTCCCTTACCACATATATAATGTCCCACTTTTTAATGTCCTCAACAGAGCTCTATAGCTTCAGAGGGCACTTGAGTTTGCTTGCTTCTACTCTGGTGTTAAGGACACGATCTCTCTTGCAAGTGCTCGCGTTGGTGCTTCCAAGTTTGCATTTGACCCTTTTGAATTTGAAGGCTACAGCTTCACATTTCAAGACCCAGATGCTTCTAATTGAAACATGTATTCACATGTACAACCATAGATAGATGGTGGGTGCAAGAGAGGAGAAAGAGGTGGGTAGGGAGGGAAAGGGGAGAAAGTAGATGAGGAGAGAGAATATTTATTAGCCTATGATTAATAGATGTTTATTTGAAATTAACAATACTAAATAAGAGTTTAAGGTTTAAATCACCTTCAACCTATAGTTTAGGATTTAAATTGCCATTCAACTCTTGTTATTTCTAATTAAATTTTATAGGTATTGAATCCTAAAGGTAGATGACATGTTTGGAGTGGTAAATAACTATTTGCATTAAGCAAGTAATTAAAAATAGTGTGGAAAATGACTACTTATATTTCTCAAATTCATTTTACAAGTATTGAGTCTTGAAGGCAAATGATTACTTTGATTAAACGAGCCACTAACATACTGTAGGAAATGACCAAGTCACTTTGTGAATAATGTGAAACAAGCTTCTAGGAGCTTTAGAATAATTGTGGTCCTTTTTATCATTGCCTTTTTGGCTCAAATTTACTTGTCATTTTTCCTGAATCTTATTAATTTTACAATTTTACAAGTTTATTTACTGCTCGGAGATATACAAGCTTGCTTTGAGAATGTAGTAGTTAGAGAACTCAAATTTAATAGCAAGAGCAATTTGATCAATGAAATTTTTTGAAAGAATCACATACAAGACTTGCTCAATAACATAATTTCTCTACACGTCTCATAGATTTTGATGTTTTTTTACACGCCCAAAGGCCTTCAAATTCTAATATAATTATTTTTAAAGATAAAAAGACCAAATTACCCTTAATAAGCGAGGATATATGTACCCAAAAGAAATTAATAATAAAAGTCTGTAAATAATAAGGAAAATTCACTTATTTGCATTACTAAATTCGTTTATTTACAAGAGTTCATGTTACTTACACCTATACTTGAAAAAATTTACAAATTAACTAAATAAAATTAATAACAAAAGGTTCAAAAATAGAAAGAAAAGTCCAATTATTTACAACATTTTTTTATTTACAAGAGTTTATGTGGGTTTGCATTTATACTTGAAGAAAAAAATTACAAGTTAACTGAATGAAATTAACAATAAAATGTCCGGAAATAACAAGAAAAGTTTAATTATGTACAACAAAGAATCCATTTGTTTACTCCATGTAAGTTCCTTTCCACTCATTAAAGGGAATTAGTTTATTCCAACAAGGAAAATGATCATAATTGATGCCTTTGAATCCATAAAGGAATAATCTATTAGGTCTGCAAAAAAAAAAAAAAACGTTCTTGGGACGAATTTGTATGAAATTCTCCCTAATTTTTTCAGCTGAGAAGGACGTTGGTCTTCTAAAATAATTTTAGAAATTTGCAATTTTTCGGTATAAAATATATTCTGATTTCAGTCTCTAACGTAATTTTTAAAAAGAGAAATACGGTACATTATTAAATAAATAATAAATAATTCAAAAAAAAGTTGGTAGAGGAGCAATATCGTACAAATTCATGTAGAAATGGGGCCCAAAAATGGGAATGGAGCGGGTCATGCATGATTATTGCGCCTGCAAGCAAAAACAAATGTGAAATTATTGAATGGATGATAATGAAAAGGAAGAAACGTAAGATTTAATTGAGGATAACATTTGAGCGGTTTCCTTGTATTTATTCTTTATCATGGATGTTTACAAGATAAGATAGGACAGATACACTTTCATCTTATATTTGTCTCAAAAAAATGATCGGGACTTAAAAAATTTTGTTCAATATTTCATTTTGTCTTGTTTTAGTACAAGTCAGAGATAGGATTAAAATACCTCAATAATCACTCTTACTTACATTTTCAAATAATTAATAATATTCAACAGTTGAGTTTTTACACACACACATAGAGACAAGAGACACCTCAATATAATAGTCCCAATGCACATATAAATTATTTGATTAGAACCTATTATAAACTTAAATTACAATAAGCAGCAACAACTAGGTCTCAGGTATAGGCTTAAAAGATCGACTTATCAGATTATTTGAATAGCAACAAACCTGTGTTTGTATTTTTAATTTCTTTTATCAATATTAATAATTATAAAAAAAAAATCTAACAACTTGGTTAGTTAGATTGAGTGTCACAGAGTAATACAAAATTAAATAAAATAAAAATAAACAAATAAAGAATAAAATAATATAATAATTTACGTATATGATAAAAGATTATATATACATATATAAAATATCAGGGCGGGGCGGGATCTCTCCAAGGGTAGCATGAGTCCCGTCTCGTCTCGCAGATGTTCAGTCTTGATTTTTTTTTGAGTCGAAACAAGCCCGTCTCAAATATAACCAGGATAAGTACCTGTGGACCAGAATATAGACAATACTGAATACCTTATTTTCCAGTATTCCGTTCGTGGTTTTTATGATAATAGACCGCAATCCCGGGGGCAGTTCTGACCCAGAGGTGTTAAAATATTATGCTAATTATAGTACAAGCACTTCAATTTTAGTTTTGTTTTCTCAACTCCACTTGCTATCATTTTATCTCTGCACAGCCTTCTGCTTGACAAATTCGCTTTCCCTTTTTTCAGTTTTTCTTCTTGCTCCTTCCTCTGTTTGCCCTTGCTTCTGTTAATTTTTAGTTCATGCAATCTCCCGCAGTTTCTTCACCCTGTCCGGCATGTTTCGTCTTGGGTTCAATATCATTAAAATCACTCGTACATTTCACTCTGAGTATCGCAGCCTTGAGGGTCACTGCTTAAATATCTAATTCTCGATCTTTTTGAAGAATATGGGAAGCAAATGGAGAAAGCTGAAGCTGGCTCTTGGATTGAATATTTGTGTTCATGTTCCTAGAGATATAGACAATTCGTCGTCTCTCAACTCCGCAACAAGATTTATCGATTCGTGCTCGCCATCTGATGTTTCTCCGGCCGGTGATAGCTCCGGCCATGGCCCAACCACTCCGACTCCTTCCTCCTCTGGTCTTCTGCTTACAAAATCCGGATCCAAATCATCCAAGGTGAGCATTTCCAATTTTGCTTTTGCATACTTAGAAAGAAAGTCATAAATTGTCTGCAATTTCTTTCGCCACTTTCTTCTTTCTCTTGTTTTTGCTTCTACCGAATCTTCTGGGCAGATTCCGATTGAGGCCTGTGACTGTTACGGCCGAGGGTTATTCGTTGAATATTTTTTTCTTGGGCCTGATTAATTACGGTGACCTACCTAATCATTGCAATTAATTAATGTTAATCACATTTTAAAATAAGCATCAATGTCAGGTCTAATCAATGGTTAATTTCTTGCTTTTGCTTTGGCTTTCCAGTTGGGGTATTGTACTAGTGGGCATATCAGAATGTGACATGTCTGACTATTGCGAAAACGATTCTCAACTGCGAAAAAAGCTTCATTTGCATAAACCATTTTCCTCCTCTGCCTTATTAGAGAAACATTCCATGTATGCTATTCCTCTCTTTCTCGTAAACTTTCCATGTCATTCTCTCAGCACTGAGATCTGAGACCCTATACCATTAATTTTGAAATTCCCCAGCTTCAGGCAATGAAAAAGTTGCAATCTCCTTTCCAGGGCGAAAAATATAAAAAGAAAAGAAATCCTAGAGAAAAAATGAATTATCGTTGATCTCCCCTTCTTTTGATGACATTTTCTTTTCCTTTGAAAATCTCGAAAGCTTCAATGTTGGAGCTGCAGTCTGTCCTAGTACCTTTTTTAAAGTCGCTTGCTTGTTGTAGTGTTAAATTTCCCTTGATTTCCTCACTGTGTTTGACCAAAACAGCGTTGACCTCTTACCCTTGCTGAGTTGTAAATTTGCTGGTAGTGGTAATGATCTAGCTTAGGTAAAATATGCGTCTAGATAGGTTCGGTGCTAAAGATGGGTTATATTCTATTTCATCTTTTCATGCATTGATAATAGTAATGGCCCTGCATCGGGGTAGAAGGGTTCAGTGTTAAGAACTATAGTCTAACAGTGATCTTAGCTTGCTTTGCATGTACACGAGCACTTTATTGAGGTGTTGCCGAGGTTCGCCAATTTAAAGAACTTGTTATCCTTCCTTTTCATTTAGCCAACTGATATAGTGATTAATTTAGAATTTAAATATTTAAATTAAAATGCCCGTACATGAAGGCAAATTTGGCAACTTTACACATTCTGAATTTACTATTATTGTCATCACTCAGAAAAAGATAGTCCAAATTCCCACTTACATTCGGAGTGTGGGGGATTAGAACTTGGAATCTGGTGTTGCCGTTGACTGGGCATTTGGGCCACTGCCAAATACCAGGTTAAAAGTTCATATCCCAACTTTATGGCTATGTACCAGTATCTTGTCCAAAATGCTATTTAAAAATAACTTAGGAAGGATGCGGACAAATTCTAGATTAACATTTATCAATTAATTTAGTAATGGTAAACGCATGTGGTTATTTGATGTAAAATCAGAGAGCACTGCGACAACTGAGACATTAAGAAATTAAAGATATTAAGCCCAGGAGGATATTAATGCTCTCGTATTCTTTGTCAGGGTATTTATTCCTCAATGTGTTCCCATATCTGAGGCATTCAAGACATATTTATAAGTGGTTCATTCAGTGGCATCTTCATCAGAAGTTATATAATCTTTTTTGATAGAATTATCTGATATTTAGTATTATTGGGTTAAATTCGAGTATTGAGGCTCAACTGGGGGTAACTTCCCCAACGTAAGCCTCAAGGTTCAAACCCTTGACTTTATTTGAGGGAATTGAGTCCCTATCCAACCACTATTAGTAAAGTCATATAATTTCTATTCAAACATGATATGGGAGTGATATTGTGTCCACAACGGATGCTATTTGAATGGAAAATAACCAATTCTGCAAACTGTCATTTTTCATCATGGCTCCCAGACTCTTTATGATTTGCTAGTACTTGGAAGTAACTTATTTAAAAGAGAAACCAGTTTTTGTAGTATCCCTTCTCTGAGATTTTATTGGAATTGATAAAGCCACCTTATATTTCTTCTTAGTGTGGTGCACAAAATGCATAGAACTTGGCACCTAGTGATCAGGCATCATCCCAAGCAAGTGATAGATGATTAATTATTATAGCTAGTAAGCTCATATAAACCGTGAAGGTAAACTATTTGGAGAAGATTTCAATTTTATTAACATTGTCAATATTATTTAATTTGTCGTGAACTTAACATTGTTCTTTATTTCTTTTAAGTCTATTGCTAGTGAGTTTGGCATTAAAGTTTTAATTTATACTAAAACTTATGCCAAGAAAAGGCAGGAGATCCGCAATTTTCGAAGCAATATTTTTTCTTAAACAGTTCTGCTTTCTCTCTTTCTTGGTTTGAGGGTATGGAGTTTGTCCATTCTGTACAAAGTCTATGAGATAATTTATTGATAAACTTGCACCACTGAGTTCTATGAGATAATTTATTGATTGTTTTGTGTGATTGTGTAAATGACACACACACACACACACACGTCTTTTCCTCCAACATTCCTGAATTCAGTTTTGGCACCGGCTTTCCTTTGCTGACATGGTGATGTTTTCATCCACATTATCTACAGGGGACATGTGCAATATGCTTGACCACAATGAAAGCAGGGCATGGCCATGCCATTTTTACTGCAGAATGCTCTCACTCCTTCCATTTTCACTGTATCACATCTAATGTAAAACATGGAAACCAAGTTTGCCCTGTCTGCCGAGCCAAATGGAAAGAAGTGCCTTTTGAAAGTCCTGTTTGTAATGTTTCATATGGAATGCCTCGTATCAACCAAACTCCCCGAGATAACTCCTGGACAACAATCTTCCGACGGCTTCCTTCCCAACCAGTGGATTCAAGTAGGCAAATTACATCACTCTATAATGTTACTGAACCAGCTATTTTTGATGATGATGAGGATTTGGATCAACAAACTTCAATGACCCACAATGAAAATGAGGCTAATCACAATTCATTAGATTCCATGGAGATTAGAACGTATCCTGAAGTTTCAGCTGTTCCAAAATTAGCCTCACATGATGAATTTGCTGTGTTAATCCATCTCAAAGCTCCTCATTCAGTCGGAAAACAAAATAGTGTCAGCAACAATACTGAATCATCACCTTCTGCTCAAACTTCTCGTGCTTCAATTGACCTTGTCACTGTCCTTGATGTAAGTGGTAGCATGGCAGGTACTAAGCTTGCACTGCTTAAACGAGCTATGGGTTTTGTCATACAGAATCTAGGTCCATCAGATCGGCTATCTGTCATTGCCTTCTCCTCCACAGCACGCCGTATCTTTCCACTTCATCGGATGACTGAATCTGGACGTCAGCAGGCATTACAAGCGGTTAATTCTTTAATTTCTAGTGGTGGGACAAACATTGCAGAAGGCCTGAGGAAAGGTGCTAAAGTGTTTGCAGATCGTCGATGGAAGAACCCAGTTTGCAGTATTATATTACTGTCTGACGGTCAGGATACATACACAATCAGCAGCAGGCCCAATGCTGGAACTACCTATCCATCACTGCTCCCAAACTCCATCAGTCGAAATAATGGTGTGGGCTTGCAGATACCAGTGCATGCATTTGGTTTTGGTGCCGATCATGATGCTACTTCAATGCACTCAATCTCTGAGATGTCTGGGGGTACATTTTCTTTCATTGAAGCTGAGGACGTAATTCAAGATGCATTTGCACAGTGTATTGGGGGACTTTTGAGTGTGGTGGTGCAGGAATTACAAGTTAAGGTTGAGTGTGTACACCCTTCTCTGCAGCTGGGTTCAGTAAAAGCAGGAAGTTACCAAACCAGCATAATGGCTGATGCAAGGATGGCTACTATCAACGTAGGGGATTTGTATGCTGAAGAAGAAAGAGATTTTTTGGTGACAGTCAATGTTCCCATTGACAAGTCTTGTGATGAGATGTCATTATTGATCGTCAGAGGTCTTTATAGAGACCCACTCACAAAAGAGATGGTGGCTTTGGAGGAGAGTAGCAAAGTAAAAATCCAGAGACCTGAGGTTGCTGGAGAACTAGTAGTGTCAATAGAGGTAGACAGGCAGCGAAACAGGCTTCGTGCTGCAGAGGCCATGGCTGAGGCCAGAGTTGCGGCTGAACGTGGTGATTTAACTACTGCAGTTTCTATCCTCGAGAGCTGTCACAAGGCATTGTCTGAAACTGTATCTGCCCAAGCAGGTGATCGATTAATTGTTTCTCTTTCTGCTGAGCTAAAAGAGATGCAAGAGAGGATGGCTGACCAACGTGTGTATCAGCAGTCTGGGAGGGCTTATGTTCTATCAGGATTGAGTTCCCATTCGTGGCAAAGGGCTACTACACGCGGTGATTCTACAGACGGCACTAGTCTTGTTCAAACATATCAAACCCCATCCATGGTAGACATGGTGACTCGTTCCCAAACCATGATTTTGGGGACGTCACAACAACCTCGTCGTTTTCTCCGGCCTGCTAAATCATTTCCTCAACGGCAGCGAGGGCAGTAATAATGAAAACGGCATTTGGAAAACTCTACTCAGCCTATACACTTCTGAGAAGACCTTCAAGTTTCTACTTTTTAACTTATTTTTTTCCTTGTGAATTTGGCACGGCGAGTACAATGAGTATAATGGGAAATAGGGAGTTTCAGGGTGATAAAATTCCTAATTTTGGCAGTACATAACTGTAAATGTAAAAGGGTTGGGTTAGTGGGACAATGATCTAGGGGGTGGAAGGACAGGATTGAAGTTGTTCAAGTGTTTGCAATTAGTTTCTTCAATAAAAGCATTATATGTGAATTATTTCTTTCTTTGTTTTTTTTTTAATATAAAAGGTATGATCAATTGATTATACAACGTTAGGATATAAGAAAAATTAATTTGTCAGGTTTCTGTAGAAGAGTTGGAGAATATAAACATGAAAATTATATCCAGAATTTGTCTCGGGTTGGATTTTATCAAAAGGATTTAGGATTTGGAGAAGAAGGTAGAGCTTATAGCTGTGGAGATGACGCGGGGCTCTTCCTTTTTGCGGATTGTGGTAGGTGTGACTTCCGTCCAGCGCTTGGAAAAATTATGGCTGTAAGTTTTCTGAGAATTTCGTTCTTCAAGACTGCCCTTTCGTAGTAAGCAGGAATTCATGTTGCCGACAGCACACAATCATTTTCGTTTACTTAATTAATGACACATTCTGGCTTACAAGACCAGCTCAAATGACTTGCGTCATTGGCCAGTTTCTGATTTAGTGATTTACTGTATTTTAAAAAATATAAAGGTGGGGTGAGACATTTTTTTCATATAAAGAATTTATAGGATAACAAAAAAGAGGGAGAAGTTATCAAAAATTTTCCACCCCATCTCTATTTTTTTTTTCCAACTGCATCCAATGTTTCCTAACGCATGTGATGATTTTCTTGAAAAAATAATACTATAACAAGTACATAGTTTTATGAGTAACTATATAATTTTATAATTAAAACTAAATTATAAAAATATTATGAATTACACATATATTTAATTGAAATTGAAAAATTGTAGTGAGTATATAAACATTAGATTTAGTTTTAAATCTAAAGGCCTTTTAATATAAGAAATGCATAAAGTAAATTTAAAGATAAAAAGGACTTTATATTCATTTTATAAAAAATATAATTAAATTTATGAAATAATTTTAATGGTTAAGGTTTAATTTTATTCTTATATTTATTTTTTAAAAATGTTAGGCATCCTGAATTAATAAATGGAAGCAATTTTTTCTTCAAACTAGTTTTTTTCAGAAGCAAAAGTAGTCTCCCATCACAAATCTGTTATCTTCATCATTAGTTTCTTGTATGGAGTTCTGGACCCACACAGTGACTGCAAAGTCTCTTGCCCCTTTTAACTATATAGTTTCTTCATTCTTGGTTCTTCTTCGTTCTCCTTAGGGTGAGCCGGCAAGGCCATCATTGAAGGCATCTGAGCTCCTCAGCCTAGAGCCATGTTAAGGAATTTTGAGGCATATGGCAAAATGAGTAAAGAGGCCTAATATATAATAATTTATCAATCCTCATACTTTTTATTTGACATTTTTTATCATTAGAAAAAAAAATTAAACACTCAGTATTTTATATTTAAAAACGCACCTAATAGTGAGCAGTACAGAGACAAAAACACAAAGCCCCTACTCAACGGTGCATGCTCTAATGCATTGGTTGGATCTGAAAATATAAAACAAGATTGCAGCAAAAAAGGTGTATGATAACCCATGCTTCCTTTAAGCCTTAGAATAGAGACAATAAAAGAGGGAAAAGTGGGAGAGTATAGGTGAAAAGTGGGAGAGAGTTAGAGATGATGATACTAGAATGAGAATTGTAAGAAGAGAATAAATAATAATTAATGACTAGAGCGGGGCCAACCTAGTAATTAAATGTTATTTTGAGAATGTAAAAGGTTTTCAACAGGGAAAGAATTGGAGTTTTACATTTTTTCATTTGACATTTATTACATAATAGTACAAATTCATCTATTCAATCTATACATTTATACAATAAATACTATTTATTTCATTTGGTATTCAAGGATTATTAGGCATCTTTAGAGTCAGGTTAGGAAGGTTATTCGGTCAACCGGGCATAGATATAGGCCTACAATTTTAAACATACAATCAGTGCTATTCGTCACAATTGAGGCAAGATGCGTCGTGACGGACGAACCCGATTTTAGTTAAATTAGGCATTTGAGAAAAGAAGGAAAGAAAGAGGAAGAAAGGAAGAATGAAGAGACTCAGCTTGGCTTTGCTAAGGCTTGGAATCTTTGGCCATTTGGAGTGCTTTTAAGCTAGATTCAAGCTAGGTAAGCTTCCTTTACATATCATCTACCTTTCTATGCAAAATTTATGTAGTTTTAGGTATTTGAGGATGATGATTTATGTCATGGGTGCATTTTAGACTAACAATTGGCTTCGATGGAGCCATTGGGACTTAATTTAAATTTTTATAGTCATGATTAGTGAGTTTATGGTCTTTTTGAAGTTGGGCTCAAGGATTTAGACGAACCCTAGCCTTAAATTTGCATATCGGGAGTGATGTGGACTTTAAATTAGCTTTGTGCAGCTTAATAGAAGCTAATTGAAGTTAATAAAACATTGTTATGATGTTTGTTTAACTAACAATAAATGTTAGAGGTTATGGGTAGTTTAATTAAGCTAGATAGTGCTTATGTTTGAGCTAATATTTGATGATTAGCATTTAATTATATAGATGTAGTTGTTCGGAGCTTACATGAGCTTGAAGAGGCTTGGGAAGCACTAAATTCCATAGCCAATCCTTTTCTATAACAAAGGAATTGAGGTAATCGGATAATCTACCATGCTTGTTGATTTGTTAGATCATTCATAAGGTTTTAAAAAAATGTGTAATTATGTAATTGTGTGCACGTGTGTGAGTTTGGTTTTAAAACTTTATGTAAAGTAGGAAAATGGTTTTGAAATTATGTTATTTATATATGCTAATTTTATAGAATCAATTCTATGACATGTAGTAATGGCCATGGATGATGTGATGTGATCAATGCTTTGCGTGATTGCATGATCATGTAACTATAAGGGGAGAGATTTACCTTAGGTGGAGTAGTACAAAATCATATGATATTTTTTGACACTGCGAGTAGCCCTAGTGTTTGGTCTTATATCTGTTTGGAAGTCCTTGCTCACCATATGTGGCGATAGTTAGGCATGTGACATCATGATTATTCAAAATAGGAGAAACCATGGTCCAAAAGTAGAATGGAGCCTTAGCCAGGTTACTTTTCCTAATCAGTAAGCTTAGGTTAGTTTAGTTACATAGACTTGGCCAAGTTGTATTATTAGCTCACGTATTTAGTCATCAATGTTGAAAAGGTTTGATTGTAACTGTGGATCATGCATTGAGACTTATAATACATATAATGTTGTGTTATGTCATGATCTTGTGACTTGTTTGGTATCTTACTTTATATGCCCATTTATGTTTTAACTTGCTAATAGGTAGTGTAACTTATTTAGTTACGAGATTCTGTCTCACCCCGTAGTTATAATGTTACAGGTGACAGTATCGATAAGAGCATAAGGGATGGTGATTGGGCAAGAAGTAGATTAGAGCTCTACTTCTTTGTAATGCCATGTTGACTTTTAAGAAGTTTATGTAATGAAATATATATATTTACATTGCCAACTAGAATCATATAATTTTGTTGGATGTACTTATATAATTAGTGTGATCATTACTGTGGTAATTTAGCTTAGGCTATGAATTTCTTAGTGAGATTGTGTTGTGTGGCCAAATTACTTATGCAAATGCATGATTTATTATGTTAAACTTGTTATTTTGACATTTGAATGGTGTTGGATGGCCAAATGTTGTATTGGTAGAATTGCCCCTTTCTTGTAAATTACAATGGGTGTTTTTATGGTCAATTTGTGATTGGATGGTGTTATTATGTGTATAATTGTTTTACTTTAGGGAGAATATGAGGTTTCCAAATTCTAGAAATTTACAAGTTTTGCTCTCAATTTTTTAATTTTGTTGCAATGAATTTGCAAATTGTGTTTCAAATTTTAACAAAAAAAAACAAATTTGTTTATTCTTCAATCATGTTAAAATTTGAAAAACAAGTGGCAAATTCACTATAACAGATTGTAAAATGAAATACAAACTTGTAAATTCTTAAAATTTGACACTTGAAACTTAATTTGAATTAATTAATCCACTTGGGACCTATCTGTTATTCTTTCTTTATTAAATGTTTTGTTACTTTACTCGGTTCAAGTCTCGGTGAAGGATAATGGCATTTAATTTAAGTTTTTCGGTACTTGGATACGTTTTAAGGTTGAAAATGTGACCTTTTGCACCCGGGTGTCTAACTTTCAAACAAGTTATTATTTTAGTGTAAAATTAGTACTATTAGCTAGATAATTAAATAAGTTTCATGTGAACGTTTGAACCACTCTGATCAGATGTTGGACGGGAAAATAATACATGTCGAAAGGTAATCTAATGTGTTGGCATGACAACGAGGAGGCTTCCTCCCCTATGTCATCCATTGTGCCCTATTTGGGACAAATTATGATTTTGCCTCAGTTTTAAATAATTCTTTTTGTCCGGTCTTTGTGCTTCCTTAAGGTATTTAACTCTGATTTAAGTTAAGTGTTATGCTCAACCAAAAGGGTTTTTGATGGGATCCTGATTTTTAATGATTTTAAATTATTTTATTAAACTCTTGTTCTTATTGCAATGAGTCATTTTGATAAGTAGGTTCTTAATGGCGACTAAGAAGTGATATATATGATATATTCTTATAATGTTAATGAGAATATTTCACTGCCTTAAACTTTGGGTCTCCTCCTCCTCACCATTCAATTCCTCTCCTCCAATAATGGCTCTTTCATCTCCTCCCTTTTCTCCATTCAGATTGGTGAGTGATCTTTAGTTGTTGAAATTATCATTGCCACTGAAGATTGAGGCATAATTATACAACATTAAATCCTCTTTGACATGGTTATTTTATCGGGCCTTACAATTTTCACTTCCAATCCAATTCCCTCTACCATTTTCACCATTAAATCCTCATTCATTACTGTTTTATCTAGGTTCCTTCCACTAATTTTCTTTCCTTCTTTTCTTGATTATGGCTTAAGCTTCCCTTTTCACTTCTTGAATCAAGCTTTTGATTTAAGGCTAGTAGGCGCAATTTAGAAGGTTTTAAAAATCAACAATGCTCTTATTACCTTTCGTCAATGCAGGGTTTACAATCAACTCATTATGGATTCTCATACCAACAATGGCTTT